CTATTCGATTGACTGAACACCGTTGTCGAAGCGGTTATTCTCACTCATCTTAGAAATGCCACACTTGTCAAAGGTTCGTTTCCAAAAAGCTCTTAGGTGGATGTAAGAGGGCCTGCACAAAGACCTTCATGTCTCCAACTCAAATCCGGTGATCCTTTTCCCATTACTGCTTTCACAATGGCCACCTTTTTCTTGTGAAGTTAATCAAATGATATGCGCAAATCTGGGAGCTGTGCTTAAAAATTATACAGTAAAACACTTCACTGACTTGCTGCTCAGGACAACGGTGGTTTTTCAGAATTATTTGTATTATTCGCACAACTGGTTTGTTGGTGTTCATGAAGGGTACCTAACGGGATACGTTAACTATAGCGAAGCTTCCTGGTTGAAGGAGTTTGAGCACAACAAGAACACTATAGATGACGATGACACGCGTCGTCAAAAATGTGCTAGTGACAATTGCGCCGCATTACTATTCCAGGGCTATGAGGAAGTAATTTAGGATTGCGGCGGTTGATTCGGCTTGCTATTTCATGAATAACCTTCTCGATGCTGCACTAACTAATCCGACCCAAGCAATATTCCCAGCAATGTCAAAAATCGATGAATATTATAGCCAAGGCAAAAAATGTCTTTAGCTCGAGCTCTGTCTTCAGCAATTCTTTCGTAAATATCAATATGTTCTGGTGTGCACTGAAAGCCATGTGGTAGTATGGTGCAAAGAGAACGAAAACGTGAACGATCTGCCAAGAACTGGAGAGCAAATTAAACACTGAGTAGCAAGGAGAGAAACAACGATGCCATCATTCAAAAGGTCATCAGTCGTAGTTTACAGAAAAGTTAATTCTTCGTATTTTTGTTGAGCAAACGCGAGGTGTTATTATTCTTTATTCACGAATGAGCTGACGTTTCGGCGGATTTCGCCTTCCTCAGAGCCTGCCCACTATTCTCCTCCAGAGGCGGTCCTCCAAATACTGAGCACAAAAGTTTTCCTTCGTCTCGCACTTCTTCCACTTGGCGAACATCTGGTTTTGTCGGCTTCGTAGACAGGTGCGTAGTATTTGCAATTCGATGTCCAATACTCGGTGACTGTCCTCTGGTAGTCCGCATACGTCGTGTAGTCGTCTTCGTTTGATGAAGTTCGGAACGACTCGAAATAGAAAGTCGGTCGTGGGAGTTACTGAGAGAAAAGTTAATCTCCGTTTGTTTTCTTCCACAGAATGTCATGGCAACCATACTAATCCCTTTCGAAAGGTATCACTTCACATAATAAGTGAACTTTTCGCCGACTCCATATTAAATGGTGGCTGTGGCTATTGGAAACTACAAAAAGTACAATGAAAGAACAAAGAGGTCAAGAGTACTTCGCGAACGATAATTTACGAATACTTCATTATTGAATAAAAACAAGGAAGTGGAATCACAAGAAGAGTCCGCTTTCTAAAATCCATCGTCACAGTACATTGGCAGTTGTAGCACGAAAGTAATAATGTGAAAAAGAGAGAATGAAACGAAGTACCGGTGCTGCAAACCAAGTAGATTCAGCAACTGCCTCTGAATCGCTCCTGGTAGACCTGGAATTGCTATTAGCGGTACTTTCTGCGCAAAAGAATACCGATAGAGAAAAACGCTACACACTCAACCATAAGGTAAGTGTAAGTTTACAAGGCGTTGACCTATCCTAGAGAGTTGCTCCATAGAGTCGACATCATGTTTCGCAGAGGTGACTAAATGCATTTCTGTTATACACATCGACACCACGCGCTGGCCAAGCCTTCAGTCTCTTCGGGGTTATCGAAATGGTACAGGACTTATTTGAAACACTGATTTAAGATACTTATTGGATTTTTCATTTCACTAAAAGAGCCATACATGCATTACATGACATCTTAAATGCTCAATAATGCGGAATGAATGAGCATTCATCAGCGATTAACCGACGCCAAAAAATTTATAACTCTCAACTTAACCATAAGTATAAGAGCGCGTGTGGCACAGTGGTTGGAGGTGCCACTGCGACACACACGTGGAATCGATTGCCGCGCCTTGGCCCACCAAGCCTTCCATCCCTCTGGGCTCGGCAAATTGGTACCAGACTTGTCTGCGAGGATAGCAGCACTGGCTCAATACATCGGTAGGTCACCGCGAGTCATTGTAAAGGTCAGCTATGCATTCAATCACCTCCAACAATACTTGGTAAAGTCGAATGCATGGCGCATCCCTCAGAGATTGACCAACGCCAACAGCTTCGTCCTTTTTTATTTAACTATAAGCTTGAGGGATAATGACAAACAAGATCAATATAACCACACCATTGCTCAGATATTTGCAAAGCTCTGGACCACACAGGTGTCTAAGGTGGAGTACGAAGGCGCTATTGTCTTTTTCGGGTAGTAACGCGTTCACCACCACGCTATGCAGGTCCATCGTTTCGCCTGTCCCTTAGCTAGTTTTATCGATCAGCGCCATCAGCAACCACCTGAGATCCAAAGTTTTGCAAATATCTCACCATCACTGTAGTCGTTTCACAAATAAAACCCTGTTGTGAAAACTAGTAAAAAGCAGTAAATAAAAAGTTCAACAAAATGAATATAATTTCGTGGAATCCAAACGCCAGTTTAGTTGGCCTTGTAAAGTTTCATCGCCTCATCGCAGCTGGCGTGCGTTCCTGGGTGTCGGAATGTGATGCACAGTAAACCGTTCATACGATTGCAGGGTCAAGAATGCTGGGGGTCTGACGCCTTCATTTATAGTTCTGCCTAAGAGTGAACTAATACCAGGTATCATCACCACCCTCGAATTCCATGGGATTGCCCTAGAAGAGACGAAAAGAGGGAAAACCGACATAAGCCAATTAGATGACGGAACCCTTGTTGCGCCTTTCGTGGACAAAAATTGTCATTACGAAATGTCGGGTATTGTCTTCGTCTTCCACCTGTTTCGGACATTACCTGCATTCTTTGAGTACACCTGATTCATACGAAATCCGATCATCGTCCTTCATCATTCTTCGTGTCTAAACTCTGCCAGTCAATATCATCAATTGTGTCAAGTTTGGGAATTCATATTTCAATATAAAAATCGCCGATAGGCATGAAGGTGTTCTAACGGCACGACTCACGCAGAGAGCTCTCATAGTTTCACAAGCAACAGATGATACTTCTTCGATATTTCATTGGTAGCTGGATTCCTTACTAGATCTATTTATCACCTTCTCAGTGTGAAGATTCGATTTCCCCCCCCCCCCCCCCACNCCCCCCCCCCCCCCCCAAGCTATAAAAGAACTCCTGTCATCGTTAAAGAAATACAAAACAAGTCACGTACGGTGAAGATATTGACAATATAATCCTGTACTCATATGACAGGCAGCTAGATGAAAACCCGACTGAAAACAACACCGTGCTTGTCGAAAACTTGACAGCTGTTTCAAATTCGTTTCATTTCCTCAATCAAGAAAATCGGATCGCATCTCCATTACTACTAAGTAGATAGAGAAAAAGAACACTGATGATTGATCCTACTGCAGCGCAACTAACATGAATAAATGACAGTTGTACAAAGTTTATGCAGAAAGAAAGGTCTTTGCAAGCGGATTCAAATTGGTATGCACAGAAAGATTATTGGAAGCAGCTCAAAAACGGTATAAGGGCCTTCGGAATCCTTTGCGACCATAGTGCTACGTCATCCACTCTGATGAAGCAAGTTGGTACTGTCATTACGTCTCGCCAGATATGGAAATAATAACAAAAAAGTTTTCAATAGCATTTTCTGCTCTGCTACTCCCGTCTCGAACCCTGAGATCTCACGCATATCGTAACATCGGATTACGGACAACCAGTTTATCAAGCACGATTCCTAATGGGATTCCGCTCCATAGACCTAACAGGAATCGTGTCACAGGCCATACAAGGTTGTCAGGAGTAACGCCTAGGCCTTGCCCGAACCTGTATCGACTACGAGAAAGCGTTTAACAACGTCCAAAAAAATGCAATCCAATTAGAGCTCGTCAGTAAGGAGTGGAACCGTCCTATGTACGAACACTATCTGACTGCTGTCGGAACTCCAGCCCAAGTATACAGCTTTCCCATCGCCTCTCACCATGACCAGAACAGAAGTGGCTCGATGTGGGGAGAGGACGAAACATAACGAAAGCTTTTTACTGCCGCACTGCAGTGGATAATGAAGTCAATCGATTGAAACGAAAACAGCAACGTTGTGGTTGTATTTCGCTTGGTACCCTGCCGCGAAATTATAGTAGGCAGAAAATAAAAAGGTATAACAGAATATGCATTGATAGAAAATTCCCATCAATTCTCGATCGTGCGGACTACATCATCATATTTTCTAAAACTGTGGCAGGAGCAGCGGCGATGGTCAATGAGCAGCTCATACCTTAAAAAACCTGTCCCATCTTCGGAGATCAGAAGATTACGCAACGATAGGGAAACACAGATTGGCCAATCACACAATAAAAATAATATATGGCAAATAGAAAAAACAGTAGAGTGAACTCAAAGAGAATGCAACCTTCCTCCTGGAACACTCAAACGATAGGCATACGTGTTCGTCGCTAACGTCAGCCATCTGCATTGGCGCATGTTTTAGAAATTCAGAATGCGTTTGGCAGACGCCAATATGTTCGAAGTTTGCTACTGCACCCGGAAAAATAGGCTGAGACAAGGATAACGCAGTGGTTAGTGATACCGTCGACCAGGAAGCGAAGGCGCTAGTTCGATCGCCGCCTCACCGCTGTCCTTTAATCTACGTGGAAACGTCTTAGCTTGGTTATAACCAAGATTGCAAGAAGATCTGACTCGACCAGCATTCCCCAACATTCATAGAGAAAATAAAACCTTCAAGCAGAAGCTGAAACAACAGATGAAATGTTCGAGGACCATTGTTAAGGATGAATGGGAGGAAAACGAATCAATGTAAGAAGTGCTAGGACCCGCACAGTACACGTGATAACGTGTCATGTAAAAAAATTAAACAAACACTTTCTATCGTGCATCTAACGACGAAATAGTAAAGTCGGTTTCTATGTCGAGAAAAACTACTCTGTATGGTGAGGTTACCTCAATGATATCATCTCCCATGTGTAGCGTGTTTGCCGTACAGTCGTCGTAGATTCGATGACCGTCGAATAAGAACCTGTAAAAACGGAGTCTTTAGTTTTTTATTAAACACCAATCGACGATCATATATAAGCCTAATTTCTCATAGTTAAGAAACGGGAAGTTACCTCAAAGATGAGAGTGCTACGACTGAACGATTGATAAAACTTTTTTTCACTTTCCTCCTGGCAGCGGTCTTCTTTATACAGAATTAGACTTCGAAGGAATCCTCAAACTCCGATAAATATACTGATAAGTTTCATTTAACATTGGGAAAAAAACATAGTGCCTTGTTTCTCTCCAAATATAAAGCATGCAATGGCTCGCGTCTAATAGCTAACGGTTGCGAGTGTTCAACTTAACACATGGTAAATATTATAAGCCCACTACACGGGTAATAACTAAAATAGATTCCTCTGTGAAAATCAATACTGATTTACGGCACATTCAAATCGAACTGATCAGCAAATTAACACTCAGTCGTATTTACAAAGAAAACGCTGTAATTGCTCTCCTCTACATTTCACCTTGAAGCGGGGCAACTACCATCAATTCAACTTACGTTGAGAAATAGCCGTAAATATTAAGCAAAAAACAAGATGTGCACTGAGATGTTTTAATTGAAAAGTCGAAAGTCGCCTTTTATGGTTTGCCAAAAGAAATCAAAATCGATATTCTTCAGGCACAACGCAGAATCACAGTGGACTACCTGCACACCAATTAATAAATGACCATTTTCATCGAGTTTCTTCGTCTGTAATTCTACACGACTTGCTGCTATAAATGAGTACTCGGAAGCCACAGCGGTAATAAAAGCATGGCACAAAGAAATCTTAATGTAGCTGTCACAACTTATCTAACTTCTTGCTCCGCCTTCTTGTTCCTGTTCTCGAAACGCAGGTACCCAGTTTCGCCACGAATTTGGTCAACTCGTTGTCAAATTCTCGCATTCCGCCAGTTCTTCCCTAATGAAGTTTGAACAAATCCGAAAATCAAAGTGTCAATAAAGAATGCAAAAATTAGTTCACCTAATTTCGTGTTCCTCATATTCTTGAATATTTTTGACCCCAATTTTGAAGAAGAAACTGGCAAAGACCTAAACCGATAAAGCGCTCAAAAAATGTTCTATTGAATACAGAATAAACGCTCATGAACAAAACACTTACGTCATCAGCAATTGCATGACTCTTATCTTCCAGTTTTCCTATCTCCCTCTCTTGTTTTACCATACGTTCTTCTATTTCTTCGATTTTTGGCTGAATTCGGGTTGGACTGTGCAGTTAGCTACTCAGAAAACTGGAAACAAACCTAGCGATCATAAAATATTTGCAGCAATCACACTGAGCTCGGATTCAAGCGATCCAAGTTCCAATACGAGCTTATTAAAAGCGTCAGTTTCACACATAGTCTTCTCGAGCCGCATGTTTCGGAAGCGAGATCCTACACACATGCGGTTGCGCCCGGAACTGACCATTGGTTCGGAAGAGAAACATTTCAGCAAAACTCCTGAACAAGCGTTGATCGATCTTTTCTTCTGTCCTAAAAAAAAATCACGACAACGCCACCTCTGTACTTCGACATACAGTTCATTCCTCTGACTTCTATGTAATGTGTTGCGTTCTTCCAGAATGCTGTGCATGACGTTCACGCAATTCGTCGTTCATCTCAGATTTTATGCAAATTACTTAGGAATTTTCGCTTAGTAAAGGACAACAGGTCGCCTCCGCTAATTCCGTACGCAAGTGCTTTTGCATCCTCCCCGGTTCCACATACAAGAGCATTACCACTCGCAAATTGCAAATCTTTCCTTCCAGCTGGGTGGTTACACTATACAAGTAATTGGAACAACTAATCCTACTCACAAAAACAAAGATAAAGATAACCGACTTGAACAACGTCATGGACGTGTTTCACCCCTTCCGTGTATGTCAATTCTCGTAGTTTTCCACTAACAGGATATACGAAAGGCCAATGTGGGGAAGACAAGTTTCTGGAGGATAGCGTTGCTTCTGTGCAACAATGATAATGATTTTAAAGATCAAAAATTTATATGAAGACATACATAAGACAGCAACTAATTAGCTAAGCACGACAACAACATAGTAAATAGCACTTATACTTGAGAAAAGATCAGACGACAAACAACATCACCTTCAGGTGCATACTAGCATCCCTTGCGGTGTCCTCCGAGTCACAAACAATATTCATTACGTGTTTTTACAACACTTTAGCAACAGCGAATGTAAATCGCTCATGGCTTGGATGGCAGCGATCAGTGAGCCGACCATAAATCTTAAACACAACAATATAGGAGTAAAGTAGCATGAGCATGACTCAACCCAGCATTTCTGTTGTACTCTGGTTTGAAATTTTTGCTGTTCTGGAACGAATGCTAAAGCTGCAAGATACTTTACAAATGGTTAACTGAGCAGGCGAATGCAAAGTTGTGGATGTCCCATTATCTCCTGCAACAAAGCGTTTTCGTACGCAAAGTAAAACTGCTTATTTGTCACAAATATGTTCAACCACAAGGCTCTTAATGTAAAACAACATGGGCGGAAATTCCAGCAAAGTGGAAGCCAACGGCTTAAACACAGCTATCCAGTCAGCCGTAATTTGCATCACCACCAAAAGTGTAGCAAAAACGAGGTAATTAGATCTGTATCAAAGTAATATTTTTGAAAGATGCAAAACAAGGGTAGGGAAAACATAACAGTTCGTAACCGCAAAATTACTAAATATTTAAAAAAGGATTAGAATCAACACTAAGAAAACCACACCATTAAATAATCCGTTTTAGAAGGAAACAAATAACTCTAAATTTTGTGTGAGTACAGATGACAATGCAAATCCTTACTTTATCTGGGAATACTATTCTAAGGCTCTCAATGACTTCGTTGCGTTGTCACACTTTTTTAGATTCTGCTGAATCACATGATGCATCCGAAAGTCACTTGTTAACCCTACTTAGCTCAACGGGTATCTAAAAATCACTACCCAGAAAATATGAAAAAAACTGAAAAGTTCTCTTCAAGATGGTAAAAACTTTCTCCAGCTTCTCCTTGCTTTCTCTGACTTACTTCTGCATTGCTAATAGGTTCGCTTTCTCACCATAAAATACCACCTTTTATTGCTTAGTGTGTTCAGCAAGATATTCCATCTACACAATAAGGAAGAAGAAAGAAAACGATATGTCTTCTTAGCAATAACTTTCTTGCATACAAGAAAGCATTACCTGCTTTTGATTAGCTCAGTTTTCTGCTTTTTATTTTTTTTATCTTTTCTTGCCACGCCTTCCTGAAACGCTCTTCATTCACTTTACAACTGAAACATGCAATTGAGTTTCAGAAGAAGGCTACATTGTTTACAACAGAACACTGAAATATCGTCTATCCCGACAATGTACATCGGTATACTTATGTACATTTTTTTATATCAGCGAAAACAGACTCAGCAGGCTACATCACACACACAGACCCACTAAGATTACCTTCGATCGGATTTCATATTCTCATTCCAAGGCGTTTAACAAGATGTCCATCATCCAGAGCTTTTCCCAGCTTCACGTTTCAGTGAAATGTTCTCGTTTATGTAGAAATTTCCGCGAAAAGCTGATAGCGTATTGCAGTACAAGAAAAAAACTCCAAGAAAAGCTTTACGAAACGGTCCCAAGGTGTTGCTCTTTAAACTGGGAGAATAATTAAGTGTGCTCGCCCGTTGCTCGTTAATATGCAGATCCTGTTCTCCGGTTTGCGACTCCAGCTCAATCTCTTGCTCAGCCTTTTTCCTTTCCAGCTCCCTTATTCACAAATAATAAATATGGACCTCAACACTAATACTAAAACAAACAACGACAACGACAACGACAACGAAGATCTGTACCAACCTCGCGTCAGCTTAAGAAGATCAGTTTATAAGATCATATAAATAAATACTAATACTAAGTTTGCATAATTAGCTACTTTCATAAATGGTGGACTAAATTGCCTTCAGTTGTGAAAGCAGACTGTATTAATGCTTCAATATCCGACATTAATTGCTGACTACGACAATGAGCTTTGCATGTTTTACGAAACTAATTCCATAAAGGTAACGTTGCCGTCATCTAATTTACCAAACAATGGCTACCGGACATAACTAGGCACGTAGCAAAGAAAACCCTGTGATGTTCATCGTGTGCAAAGGCTTTCACCCCAATTTCAAAAGTCAACTTTATGTCTCATCTCAACCATATTCACATTTGGTGGCTTCTATGATGAGTTTTGACGCCACTTGAACGGAAAACTGTTTCCCATAAGAATATTCCCTGAAGTTGATGAGGTTTGGAGAATTACAGACTATGAATGTCTGTCAATGTGCACCACCTTAGAAACTTTACAGTTTATTGAAGGCTTTAAAAAAAGCGATTCAAAGGCAATAGAGTTTTTCTCCTTTGCGAGCAGGTTGCTTAGACCATTATGAGACAAACTTGTATTCAGTCTGGTATATTCGATCATGAGAATATGAAGGAGAAATTACATAAAATAAGGAGAACAGAATGGGCTGTATTAGTGTCTTTCGTAGCCAATGAACAAATAAGAAATCCGACAGTCCCGTTCAACTTATTCAGCCGTCTTCCCAGCACTCTCTTACGAAGCGAAGACATGGGCTCCTATTTCAACTACCCTAGGAGTTCTGAAACATGACCAACACTGGGCCTTAATCGCGTTAAGGTTAACCATGACTCACGACGTCTAGCCAAAATGCGTTCCTCAGAACTTTGGAGTCCCTCCCCCGCATCTAGAACATCTAAAAGAATACATTCAACGGCAAAGAGAGGTGTATTGGACCGATAATAACAGATGAAATATGGACGAAAAGAACAATGAAGTGGACTACAAGAAAATGTAAGCGCTCCGTTGAGCGACCCAAACTTTGGACAGACGTATTCTTAGCTCATCGATCCGTATTCGCAGATGGAAGCGACTTATGGATCACACAATATTCCTCACATAGATCACCATGTTCGAAACAGAGCAGTACCATGGTCACCGAAAAAGCGAGGAAAAACTGAATAGGAGATGAGTTGAGTCCTGCACTACTAAGAATTTACCACATGTAGAAGACACTGAGTATTTGTCTATCCATTCATCATTGCACTGATTGAACAACCACCTGAGGGAGCAATCCTAAACGATCAAGCATCACAATTCAACTACTTTTGAAACGCTCATTTGCAGATGATTTGGACCAGTTTCTGTAGAAGTTCTACAAACTGTCAATGCATCACATGAAATCTTACATATGTTAGAAATGGTTAGAATACAAGCAAACTTGTAACACGAGTAATGTATAAAAGCTAAACAATAAGAGAAAAAATAAAAATCGTGCTGAAACCTAGGCAATAAGAGCTAATTAATCTTCTCGAACAGAAGAAATCAGTAGTGTTATTAAAAAATTGTGTGGGTATAGAAAAAAAGCTTTTGAAAAAACGTGAAACCACAGCTAGCATTTTGTACCTCAAAGCGCAAGCACTGTGTGGCAGAAAGGACGACAAAGACAGGTATTTCTTTCCATCTCAAGGCAAAAATTAGTAAGGTCACAACTGATAAAAATAACCGCAAAACAAACCATGCGGCTTTCTCAAGCATCTCCGCCTGTTGTTCAGCTTTCTCAGCGAGTTTCTGTGCATCATTCAACACATTATTACCATTTTCCAGCTTGGTTTCCATATGAAGTGCTTCCTGCTTCACTTGAATACATAGTGGGCGCTGATCCGAAATTTTACAATTTTTACAAATTCTACACAATAACTTATAGTACTCATGCTGAAGGAAAGAACAGCAGAATTCTCAAAACAAACATCACATTACTGCACGGAAAGTGTGGAAATCGCTAAAATGTCGAAGAAACGATGACAAATGTAAGCATAAGGTGTTCTTTAAAAAGCAACTTCCCTCGCCAATCGAAGATCATCCCACTGCGCTCTCTTCAACGGTTCCTGCTACTCACTAATTCTTCAGTGTCATTATAAAAAGAACTGATTTGCAGCTAGTCATACAGCTATTTTTTTATAACTTTAAAACAAGGCATACACAGAGGAAAACAGTTTATAAGTCGATACTTTCGAGATTCCATTCCAGTTATTTTCAGCGAATACTCACCAAGTCATCTTTCATTTGTTGATCTTTCTCAGCCCTATCCCGTTCCAACCTGAATTCTCGCTTCTCCGTGGCTATACTTCGTTGCTTGTTCATCTTTTGTGGGACACATCGTTTTCCGCTTTTCGCAATATTGCTTTCAGCCAGTCATATTCTTCTTGAAGTTCACAGGACCTAACAACATTCTACTGTAGCCAGACACCAAATGCCTACATCCTTGCAAGATATTCTCAGGTTCACCTTTTAGTTCAGTAGTAATTCACGCGAGTTAATCAAAGAAACTGAGATGCCATTGGAGAGACAACTAATGAACGTTGCTCACCTCGCGATTTCTTCGATTAGAGCTGTACGTTCCTTAAGGCTCTTCATAGCAATAGATTCTATTTGACCGTGCAATTTCAATTCGTCAGAACACAGAAAGTACGCTCCAAGAAATAAAGCGTATATCGAAGGAATGATCTGAAGGAAACACCGGCGTGTACTTGCCCTGACCAGAATTTGAAAATTCTCCATCTCAGGATTGCATTGCTGCAGAGAAATGACCTGGAATTTACACAGAAACAATCGATAATAGTCACTACAAAGCAGAAGAACGTAAATGTTAACGTACATAAAAACCCGCACCAAAAAAAAACTCATGTTGTAGAAAATCAGAACCACACCTGCAAAAAACCGAGTGGGAATCACGAGACAACCACTTTCGTTAAATGTCATGAAAGAAATTCGAAAGCACATAGATGAAAAGCGGAATGCATGTAAAGATAAATAAAGGATAAAGCTCTCAGCGTTTATTGATCCCTCATCTCGTATCGGAATCTATCCCATGCGCATTGCACGCCACCAAGGACCACTGGGCCACACGCGCCTGTTGAAATGCACATAGAGAATAAAAGGATAAAGCTTTTGGCGTTCATCAATCCATCAGGGATGCTCCATGCATTTAACTTCATTAAACATGGTTTAGAGGTGATGGAACGCAAATCTGGCCCTTACAATGACTCGCGGTGGCCTACCGATGTATCGACCCAGTGCTGCTGTCTTCCTATACGAGTCTGGTACTAATCTGCTAACCACGTAGAGATGGAAGGCTTGGTGGGCCATGGACGCAGTGATCGACTCCACATTTCTCAAATGCATATATAAGCCCAAGAACTGCGATGAAAAAACAACTTGGTTAAACATCGAAGAAAACTGAATAAATCAAAGTAAGGACAACCTGTCCATCGATGCGGAACTCAGAACTGGAATTAGTTGCTGAACGAGTGAATCTTCTCTGACGTCCATCAGCTTTCTTGCAATTGATTGTTACAGAAGAACGACCCGGCACCGGCTTGCCTACGGGCGCTGCGTGGATGAGATCCTAGACGTAAGCATTAGAAGCTCAAGTGAACAACACATGGTATAAGGTAGGCGATAAAATTTGTCAGTTGAATCCGGCCACTTAATAGGTGAAACTTACTCCTAATTTTCTAACGCGCAACTTCTTGGTTTTTCCAACCTGCACAAAACTAATTCCGTCCATTAAAATTGATTTACCTGCAACCCGACTTAAGAGTTAAACGGCAAGAAAAGTTCCACATCAACTGGACAAGATCCAATAAACCGAGCAGGGGTAAAATTTACGAACTCTGAACGTTCATACCAGAACAATTTAGACCAATCAACGCTGCGAATCTCGTAAACGAACCGACCACATGTCTTCATCGATATGATTTTAAAGTTTCCATCTTCAATGTATGCAATGCATCTATTTTGCAATCTGGATAAACCTGAAATGACACTTGGATGAGAACCTCCATAAGAAAAGTTGAAGACAGCAGATAAAAGGCCGTAGATGACAGTTGCACGAACAGATTAATAAAGAAAACATTTATGTATAGGCGTGTACATACATATCTCCATGCATACACATAACGCACTCATATATATGCATATAGTTACACGGTGCATATACAATCGTATATACACGTACACATGTATATGTACAGTTGGCTTGGATTTAATTAAGAACTCCCTTAACGAATCAAATGTTCAAACAAGAAAAACATGTACATGATATTTTTAAATGTCGTAAAAGCGGACCACCGCGCGAGACTCGTAACTTTTCGAATGAAGAAAGCAGTGGTGCTGGGGCAGATAGTGACAGCATTCTCAAGCTGATATGAAGCAGAACCAAACACTTTTACCAACTGTACTTCTCTTCAGCACACAAATAGTCCTTACTACGGTTATGATAGCAGTCAGATAGACACTGAAGACAAATCGACTCCAATCAATCCGGTTCCGAAGAAGACGAAGACGTAAAGACGTCAGCAGAACTGAAGGTTTCAACAACATCGTCTTTGTTGAATGATTTCGTAAGCTATTTCCTATTTGTAGAGAGGTGGAAAGGAAGTCGGTTTCAAGAAGTGTTAAAGGCAGGGTTATTCTACTACGTTCAAGGAATGGAAAGGAATTCAAACTGTCCTGCATCTTTCGTAGTTCACTGATAATAGGACGATTAGCATAAAGCCAGATTTCTATAACTTTGTTCTCTTTAACCTTCCTGAAATGTCCGGAATTTTGAACTAAGCGACTATTAGAACCAACTTCAGTTAGTGGACTGTATCTTATTCAAAGTGCTTAGTGGCGTTTCAAGCCGAGCCGTACTTACCTTTCCTATTGTTTTACCCGAACGATGTTGTTTTAAGGCCGCTTTTCGTGCTATTTTGTGAGATAAGTCCATTCCAGTGCGGTACATGTAGAGTTTTCCGAAATTCGGAGATATAAAGCAGTTTTGAAAAGATCTGGAGGATTCGTAATTCGTGATTAGAACCGAAATAATATCAGATCTGTACGTACCATACTGTTTTCTAAACCTCTGCAGAATTAGATAAAAAAATATTTCATGCCAAGTCGGAGAACCAATAACAACGAAAAGTGGACGAACGTCTCACCATCGTAAAAATGCCCTGTGAAGATGTAGATGAACAAAAACAGTACCTTAAGTAAGGTGCGCCATGTACTACTTTGAAAATCGAAGCAAGAAAAAGTCATAGAAAGGCAAATGATCGATGATACAATCGATCGAATACAAAGGATTGACTACTCACGATATCGTGAACAGAAGAACAACATGGAATGCTGTTGTTATGCGCACCTAGGGGTAACCCGGTTCAGCATGTGGAGTACAGTACGACTTTGTAAAGCAAGATTCAGCTAATTAACGTATAAACAGTTCAATATGGATAAAGATAGAGAAAAGATGAAAAGACAAGAACATGAGAAAAGATCTGGACTAACTTAGCCCACCTGTTACCTTGTCGGAAAGCGGAACATGAGCATCAACTTCCTGCTGTTGTTTGAGGATAATGAGTTAATGAAAGAAAAAGACAGACTCATAAGCTAAGATATGTTTACATACAAGAAAACATGTGAAACGTACCAACAGCAACAAGATGTAGCCGAGAAGTCATCTCCGGATTCTGATGAAACATCTTCTCATCATCGGCTGCTACTTTCAAACATGTTATCTAGACTTGAATCCTAGTCAAATACGTTGTAAACACTGCACATTCCAGAAGACGATCCTTTGAGGTCCTGTAAGAAAGGAATGTAACGGAACACTATGTTCCACCTCCCGATCCGTTTTCCATTTTCGAACAAGTTGTAGCTGAAAAGCATTCCAACGAAGAAGGGAGTCATTGCACTGAGGATGGACGTTTATTTTTGCGCTGTTCGATGCAACGACAAGATGATATCGACCATGTTCAATATCTTAGTAAAATAAAGAATTTAACGGGTAAATGGAGTTAGGCTCCCAACAGTTTACCACCTTATCGTTGCTGAGAGGTGTTCTTGGGTATCAGGCTGCGATGTACAGCGCAGTAATTCATCAATCCAGCAGGGTCTCCCAAGCGAAAAAAGAATTTGGTGTTTCCACAAGCCAGTTAAGAGTAGAGCAATATCAGGACCCGTCATCGTCCAGGTATGGAGCTAGTAGCATAGTGACAAAAGTCCCTCTCATCCACAATGGTGGTATCTGCCTGTGGTGGCGACGACCTGGGGTCTTCGACCTGGCTTACCTCGGAACTCCAGCGAAACACAATAGCTAAACCAGTAGAAGTACGAAAAAAATAGAGATTATGCTGTGGTCCGCACAACCTGTGAGAATGGGTCGGCCAAGTATCCAAGTATGTGCTCCCATAAAAATACACCTGATTTGGAAGACTAGAAAGAGTATTGGAAACATTTCTTGAACCGGGGACACATGTTAAAAAAATATGTAAGTAAAGCAGTCAACAAAAACCAAATAAAAGTGACTGGTAATACTCATTACATGCACTTTGATTTAAACAAAAACTGAACGCACTCATGACTTCAATTTTTCGATAAATGTTGATAATCGTCCAATCTTTATAGCAAATGAGGGGCTGACAAAATCGCTGGCATATGCATACTCTGCTCAAGAGTAATAACTGTACAGGTAGCCATCGCAAAGCCTATTTAGGTTTGCAAACCAAATGTGGCAATTGCGACGACGAACGATTCAGTGAGGAACACCATCGCGTTTTTTTGACGGAATTCCGTTTAACTTTTTAAACACTGTTTATCCGTTTTTCATAAGACGGTATTATGTGAAATAGAATCGGAAGAATGCTGAGATACGAGGACTACATTTCGGCTTTGCGCCTCCACCTAACCAGGGGCTCACGTGATATCCAATATAACCAACGTGGTACACAACCAATGTCTTTGCTTTGCCTTGTTCTTAGTCAGTTTAAGGCAATCGCAAATTCGAAGCCCATCTAAAATTCCGAGTTCTGTTCAAATCTCAAACTCCCGTTTGTTCACTCGCTTTGGTGTTTGAAATACGAACTTCAACAAAGAACAGCATGGAAATATATTTTATGCGCTCTAGAGAATCGCGATTTCATCAGGATAACACAAGGGAGGGTGTACCTGATTGGCATTCCACTGACTACTGTTTTAGGTAACAGAGTTAACCACGAACTGAGATATTTTGCTATAAAATTAAAAGCGGGAAATGCTTTTGTATCGCATGAACCACATATGATTCATTAAGCCATGTGTGTTACGGAAGGGTAGGACATTTGTTCGGCATCACCGGCATTGAATATAAGCCGAGTCATAAAGCATACATCAAGAATACAATCCCATATAGAATAGTAAAACATAATCTGTTTTAACCTAAAAACACGAAAAGGGAGAAATGCCTTCACTAATGAAGAGTTCTCATCTTCAAAGGTACGGAATAAGGTGAACTCCGATATAAGTGCACACTGTTGAACAGAACGGTTCCGTCATGAGCAAATGGTGCTACGAAGCGCTTATAGTGATAGGCACTGAAACCAAACAAGACTCCCTACAAAACAGAATCATTATCGACCAAAATCAAACTCAATGAATGGAATCCAAAAATAATGGATAACCTTTGCCCACATTCAGTCAAATCCTAACCCTAGTGACCTAACAAAACGTCTGAGAAACATGAGATGCATCATTTCGCAAGCAAACTGGGATGAAAACAAGACGTCGCGACTGTATCTGTTTCTACCACTGACAAGGTAGGTGAGAAAAAACCAACGACTCAATTTTTTTGAGCTTAAAGATATAAAAACTATATTCTACAGAACATTAGCAAAACTAAAACAACAGCATAATCTAATTTAGAGCTAAGGGGGCGCTTACCGCAGTACTCGGACGCCTTCAGCAATACACATGAGATCGATTTCCGCGCAGAAGACTCACCAGGCCTTCCTTCTCTCCGAGATCGGCAAATTGCTACCAGACTTGTCTGGGATGATAGCAAGACTGATTCGATCCAGCGGTAGACCATCGCGAGTCAGTGCAAAGGTCAGATATGCATTTAATCACTTTCAACAATGCTTGATTAAGTCGAATGCATGATGCATCCCTCACGGATTGATCCAAACCAAGAGCTTTATCGATAGTTTTTTTCATCGCTGAAAAATAAGCTTGACCGAAACGGTGTTTTTTTGCAAGTTAGCAAGTGTGAAAGTGCCTTATCTTTCCTATTGCGATAGCCATTGGCCTAGATATCAAGTGAATGTATACAGTGGCGGATGAAAAAATCTGGAACCCATTAAACTGAAAACGCATGTCAAAGTGTTCTTATCGTCCATTTCGCCCGAGATGAATGGACACTATAGCGCTCATACCAGGCGTTATAGGTTAACATATTCGAAGTTGATCGTGTCTGCTCTTCAATAGAATCTTCAGCTCACCATTTCAGGGCGCCTACAGGTGCTCACCATATCCATGAGGGATACATCATGCATTCGACTTAATTAACCATCGATCTGAGATATTTCAGTATAAAATTGAAATCGTGCAATATTTTCGCATCGCTTCAAACGCATATGATGCATTCAGTCATGATCGTGTTGAAAACAGAAAGGGAAACTATAGCATCTCAAAGGCGGAAGTATAGAACATTTCTTATGAGCCACCGATACTGGATATAAACCAAGTGATAGAGCTTATATCAGCAACAGAATTCTACAAAGAATACTAAAACATGATTTATGTTAGATTAAAAATACAAAAAAGCAGCAGAAATACCTTCACTGATGAAAACTCCTCATCTTTAAAGCGCACAGCAAGCAGGTGAACTCCCGATATAAATGCACAACGCTAAGCAGCGCTATTCCCTCTCATAAGCAATTGGTGCTACTAAGCTCCAGTAGGAGTACGCATTGAGATCAATCAGGTATCGCTATAAAACAGTAGTTATCGATAAAAATCAAATTCAATAAATGGAATCGAAAGTAAGAGAGGATCATTGTTCACATTCAGTCATTTCTAATAACTGATGATTCAACAAAGGGCCGCGTCTGCCTACGGTAATGACGACCTGGAGCAGACTATGGCCAGGCTGAACTCGGGATTCCACGGAAAAATAATCGCTAAACCAGAAAAACTCCACACAAGGAAAATAATGCTAGAGCCCGCACATCCAGTGAAGATAGGCCATCCAAGTATCCGAGTATCTATGGCGATCTAATAAAACAGCTGCGAAAAACGACATGCATCATGTCGCAAACAAAGTGGCAGAAAAACCGAGCCATGAGACTGTATCCATCCTACCATAAGCAACGTAAGTGAGAAAGAACCATTGACTCATCTTTTTCGGGGCCTAAAAATTTTAGTGCATGATCACACTCTGCAGCACAATATTAGCGAAATTAGGACAGTAATATCACTTAATTTAAGGCTGCGAGACGCGTTTAACGCAACGGTGTGAGGCGCCTTGCAGTATACATAGGAGTGATTTCAGCGCCCAAAGCCCACCGCACCCTCCATCATTCGGGGATCGGCGAATTGGCACCAGACTTGTCTAGAAGGATAGCAGCACTGGGCCGACACATCGGTGGCCACCGCAAGCCATTGTAAAGGCCATGCATGCATTCAACCACCTCCAACGATGCTAGATAAAGTCGAATGCATAGTGCATCCCTTAGCTATTGATCAATAATGTTTCGCCGAGAGCTTTATCCTACATTTACTAGTCTTAAGCTATCTCTAGGAGAGTCATCGAAACTTTAAATTTCAACGCGTTTCCTTACATCAGGAACGCTCTCAAGGGCGAAAATAGAAATCTCACGAATTTTCTCTGAAAACACGTCACTGATTTCTTCAAGCTTTAAACAATACATTCTTCGAGGCATAGCTGTCACATTTAGAACCAAAGTTTGACTTAATTTTTTCAAATTATTGTAGTGGTTGCTCTAACAAACTGCTAACTACGTAACAAAGCATAGCAGTTGAAAAGTGTTGCTCTACAAGTGTGGCTTAGGGAAAATCAAATGACTAGCACGAATAAAAAAACTGAATTCTTGAAAAAAAAAAAAACTAAAACCAACGACAAGCAAGACGAAAGAACGAACAAGAAAAATGTATTGAAGTTCACTTTTTATCTGCTTATTAAAGAAGAAAGGATAAAGCTCCCGGCGTTGTTCAATCCGTGAGGGATGCGTAATGCATTCGACTTCATTAAGCATCGTTGGAGGTAAAAAAAATGCACATCCTGCATTTACAATGGCTCGCGGTGGTCTATCAATGTATCCAGCAAGTGATGTCATAGTCCCAGAAAAGTCTGGCACCAATTTGCCAAACCCGGAGGGATGGAACGTTTTGTGAGCCTTGGGCGCGCGAATCAATCCTATGTGTATTGCAGGGCGCCTCCGACCAATGCGCTACACACGCACATAGCAAAGCGTCACAGAATGAAGTGGAAGAACAACACAAATAGCTTTTAAATTAACATACGCATATTCAACGAAAAGCGACAAGTGCGCACGGGATTGTCATCATGTTCCAGTGGTGAACTGCAGCACTACATACGTAATAACAGAGGTTGTCTGTAGTGGCATTTTAAAAACAGAGACGTAACTTTTTCATTTGATGAAAACACTCTTCACCATAACTTGTG